GAGGTATGATATATTTATATTCAAATTTTTAAAATATATAGAATATTACTGTACTAATCAAAATTTCTCCAATTTAATAGGATCCAAATGCTGCTACTACTCCAGATGTCTCACCAAATCAAAGCAATAATATTTATCATAACTATTTTACTTTATTTGTTTTGTAGTATAAACCACCCAATGTGGTTTATCCAACTGTTGCTTGGACGATGTTAAAAACAGATTTTTTGGTTTCATTTAGGTTTTTTTAAGCTTTTGCATATTTAGTTTTTTTTTTTTTTATGTATAGTTGTTCTTTCTATGTTTGTCATTTTGGTTGAACAGGAATCTTGAGAAAACATTCTTTAATGTACAGGTGTTCTCTTTGTATTGGACATTTTAGACAAATAGGATTGTAGGGAAATATATTAAAAAAAAAGAAAACACCTATACCGACGGACTACTTCCGTTGGTATGGCCTGAACCTATACCGACGGACTATTTCTGTTGGTATAGCCTGAACCTATACCAACGAACTAATTGTGTTGGTATAGCCTGAGCCTATACCGACAGACTACGGTTGTTGGTATAGCAACAACTTATAAACCGTCGGTATAGGTCTCTATACCTACGGAATTAATCCGTCGGTATAGGTCTACACCGACGCTATCTTATCGGATGCATCAGGCGACCGTCGGAATAGCTCATTTAGGGCTATACCGACGGATTGGGTGCGTCAGTATAGGGCATATTTCCTGTAGTGAAAGGACCTTCTGAACCCTATGCTTTCATTTTTATTTTATTTCAAGAAAGAAGATCAAATCAAGATCCAAGAAAATAGAGTGAAAAATTGCGGGTCTATATTGACCCACAAGTTTAGATGGGTGGGTATAAGTAGGTTTTAAGCGGGTGTGGTGGGTAGATCAAATGGGCTGGGTCAAAATTTGCGGGCTCTATACCATAATACCAAAGTACTCATCCATGTGGAATGAGCCCTTTCAATTGCACTTTCCAAAAGTTTTTCCAAGTCCATACTCAGCACTCATGGTAGGAAATCATCATAAACCAAACAATCAATGAAACATTCCTTATCCATCTACTTGGTCTCTGTCATACAAGTTCACCAAATAATATGTAAATGAAGGGCAACAATGTCATAACTCAAGGAAACAAAGTACAGATTTAAAAATTAAGTAGCATTCATATATAAACATCGATCAACTAAATATTCATTCAAAAAATAAATATTAGTAGAACAAATAAATAATTATAAAGAAAGCCCTACTCCCTATATTTATCAATAAAGCCCAATTCCCTATGAAACATCCCCACTATCATCATATAGGTAGTAACTATAGAGCTTCAAATTAATGTAAGAGATATAAATGGCAAACTTAAACAGTTCAGGACCACATGACATCCCACTGGGTTGAAACTTGAAACCATTAACTCAAACTGATAGCTAACTGAAGGCTTGAGATCAACATGATACTAAATCACAGATCTCTCAATTTTAAATGATCAACATGAAAATTTTGCTTCAAATTTCACTTTGTATTATTCGCTTTAGATGAAATAGAATGGAGGTAGGAGGTAGGTTATCTGTTTAGGAGTAAGGTAGGTCTCCAGACGATGCCTTTCCCACTTTATATGAGAAAGTATCAATCGAAGGGAAAAGTGGTGTAAATTTTCCATCAGTTTTCTGAAAGGAAACTAGAATTGTCAGCAAGGCTCAATTTGAAAAGAGCACAAATGCAAAATATGTGGAATGCAAAACCTTATATTTTATATTATTTTGTATGAATTTCTCCTTCCTAACTGAGCCTAAAATAAAAAAGAGACAATGCAATTTTGCATCAAGTAGGAATACAAATCATAATTACAAATAAAGAAAGCAAATCTGAAGCGAATACAGAATTTGCACCCAGTTAAAATTTACACAGCAACCAAATGCGCCTAACTTTCTGCTCTTTCCTTATCCCACTTATTCCAGAAACTACTCACAAATTGGAGCATTTGGACAAATCTGCATCCATTTTCGTGATTGCAGTAGAGGATGCATTGAGTTCAAGTTTGAGAGGATTAATAATGCCAATAAAATTAGATTGACGTAGCCAATAACCCCAAGTTGGGATTTCCTCCCAACAAAAGTCTGTAATGAGATGTGCAGAAGCAGATCATGTTTTGATCTAATGTTCAAAATTTCAATATTATATTATATTATATCTTTTGATTCCAGGTATGCTTATTTGAAATGAAGTTTTGAAAAAGTGTTTTTTTTTTTAAATATAAAGTATATAAAATAATATATTTTATGAGATTTAAAAAATATAAGAACAGAAGGCTCAAAGTATGGAGTTCACATCAGCGCCCCATAATGCCCTACAGAACATGCCAACTGTGTATTGCTAACATCTTCTATACTTGAATCAGTGAAATATGCATGTGGTTCTACCATTTACTTAGGGGTTGTTTGGCATCGTTGCCGTTTCCTGGAGCAATGACACCACATCAGAAAAAAACGGTGCTCCAGGAAATGGGCATTTGTTTGGAACCGTTTTTTCATAAAAATAGTGTTTCAAGCCACACCTCGGAAATTGGAATGGAGCAACGCCAAATTTTATGTTTCCTAGAACTGCAATTCGTTGCTGCCAATAGGGCAGTGATGTGGCATTGTTATGGCATTGGATAATAGGCACTAGTACTGAAAACGTTTCCCGGAGCAATGGTACCAAACATAAAAGGTTGTGGTTACTTCAGAAAATGCCTTACCTAACAGCAACTATTCTAAATAAAAATAAAGGCACCGTTTTAGAAAACAGTGCTCCAAACCACACATCAGCAAGGGTGCTTCTGCACCAGCAGCATTGATGCTAAACATATATTTAATAATCATTTTTTTTTTTGGTATTGAATCACTCGCCCTTGCCCCATAACAGCTGTATTTCAATTCTCCTTGGTATAGCACAATACTTTTTCCAACAACATTAATAATTTTTCTCAAAAGTGGCAAGAACAGCTAGCGGAATTGGCATATCATCTGAACTACCTAGTTTACGTACCGACCAAACCAATATCATGTAGGACTACATGTGTTTATGTACCAACTGAGCTATCACTCAATTGACTACTCATTATTAAACCCATTCATAGATCAGGCTCCAGCTTGACTTTTATCAAAATTCTAATAGACCCGACCTATGAACAGGTGTTGATCAATTGATATGTTAAGTACCTATGCATGAATGATAATTATATCCTTTCTAATGAAACGGCTGGCACGGTGGAATTGAAGAGGGACGTGTCATGTCATATAATATTATAATGTCAGAATTGGCCATGGAGCATATGAATGAGAAAAATCGGTGAATTATACTATACTCTACAACAAAAATTGGAAATTACAATCCTCCATACTATACTCTATTAGTAGGCCCCTATAAACCGTTATAAATCACATCCAATCTGTGGATAAATGTTACATCAATCAATCCATGGTTGAGATTCATTCATCCCACCTGCACAAATGGGACTAAAAATTCTGGAGTGGGCTGAAATGTCATTCTGAGAAAAACCTTCATTTTGTTCCGTATTGTTGTTATTGGTGACTGTGAGAGAGGGTCAAGCCCATACCCACCCACATCCCTGGTTTTGGGATTCACATATTTTTATTAAAAAAAATGTTCCCCATTTTCATGAATTTATAACAGGCAAAACAATTGGGTGGGCCCAGGGGGACAGCTTTGAGGTGGTTATGGATGGATGACCAACTAACCCAACCACAAATTATTAATTGCGATTATCAACAAATCCATGTCCCCGAACTTCTTGATTCAACGTGCGCCACTGGGATTCTTCTCTCTCTCTCTCAATTCTCAAGCTAAAGACCACTGAAGTTACTACATTGGCCTCGCCACATGACCACATCCCTCCGGCGCTGGCCACATCTGACACTCCTCACCCTCTGATCCGGGTTGAGATAACTTGGTTCAACATTAGGTCCAACTATCCATGAACTAAGGCATCCATTTGCTCGTGAGTCACGAGCTTCAGGGCCCATTTGGCGGAGTTTCCATCTGTTTGTAGTGGAGACTTGGAGCTTCCAGGTTTTTTGCCAAGCATAACTTAAAAAGACTGTTTATGTATGGCCTCCGCCCTGTTTGGAAGAGCTTTAGCTTTGATTGAGCTGTTTTCACTATTTTTAAAGAATTTATTAAAATTTAGTTTTACTAAAAAAATCAATTCCTTGACAATGATAGCAAATTTCGGTTCTTCCAATTTTCATTAAATATGACTTTCAGGGTTTTCTCATGTGGCTTATAAAGCCAAAAGCAGCTGCATGAAAAAGCCCTCCCAAATAGACACTAATTTATTCCAATCACCTCAAAGCAGCTGAACCATCAGTTCAACCTTCACAAAAATGTGAGTTTAAATCAGCCCCCCACGACACATCCTCGCTGTATATTGGGAATATCCCCGATGATAATATCAGAATTGATGATGTCATCATTAGAAAATATTCCCAATACACAATAGTTATGTGCTATGGGATGTTGTGGGGGGCTGATTTGATCTCTACAAATGTGTCTCACACCAAATGATATTCCAAAAATGAGAGATCGGATTCAATCCTTACAAAATAATGATGCTCACACCACACCCACAGCCACTTACAATTGTGCATTCATAATATCTCGCAATGAATAAAAACATACAACTTAAAAGATATTCCGAATACACAGTTGCAAAACGATGTGAGGACGATGTGAACTGTGAAGGACTGAATCCGAATTCCCCAAACGAGCACTGATATCTGTGTTGGAACCGGGAGGATGCGAATTAAGCCGATCAACCCGTTCAACCCAGCGGGCCAGCGCATGCAGCCAAATACCGTAGTTGGTTGCAGATAGGGGAAGTTGGATTTATCTGGGATATCCTCAAAGAATGAAGGGTAAAGTAGTCCAATGGAGAAAGATCAAAGATCCTCTTCTCGCAAATCGCACAATAATGTTTGAAGGATCTCCTTGTCAGATTGTCAGAGAGAGGGAGCGAGAGTGAGAGAGGGAGACGTACAATACTGGTCGCTGTTGTCGACAGCCGGGGCGCCTCTCCGCTTCTCCCATCCTTTTCTAGGGTTCGAGAAGCTCGGAGAGAAGCGTCGTGTTCTCGTAAAATTTTCCTTGTTGTCTGTCTGCAGATTATCTCTCTCCAGTAATAACTCTCTCTTTGCTCGCGCACTTTGTACATTCGAGACACCATGAATTCGAATGCGAATGTCATCACGAACTCGCTCCAATCAATTTTGGGAGTTTCTCTCGGATACGAATCGGTTTCCGATTCCTTTGTCGTGGTATTGACTACCTCGGCTGCAGTGCTTGTTGCACTTGCTTTCTTAGTGTGGAGAAGATCCGCTCCGGAGAAACCCCTGAAGCCTGTCGAAGCTCTGAAGCCGGTGTCATTTGAGGAAGAAGAGGAAGTTGAAGTGGATCCAGGAAAGACGAAGATAACGATTTTCTTCGGTACTCAGACTGGCACCGCCGAGGGATTTGCTAAGGTACTTCCGCGGAATTACGAAATTTGACGGAACTTCAGGCTCTTTTCCTCATTTATTTTCATTATGCTTCGACGGAAGTTGTTTTTTTTTTTTTTTTTCCTGTGGATAGTCAGAGTTGTATTTTTCGCTGATCCACCAAAAAAATATGAAAATGAGCTGAACCGTTCTATTTTGGTTTCAGTCACTTCTTATGGATTGCTACGAAATTGAGAATTTTCTTTAACGATAGTAAAAGAAAAAGAGAATTTTCTTTAAGATAGACTACATAGAGTCTTAGATAGAGTCTAAGATTTTGAGTTTTAATAGGTTTGATTAGTCTGTAAGTATGATGAAATTATCACACTCAACAATGTATTCTTCTTAGCCTTCCTTGAATTTTAACTTGGTATCAGAGCCAAAGGTTCAACCTTGAGCTCTTTCAAATTGTTCCCGTGTTTCCGGAGGGTGGCTGGCGTCTTAACCACCTGCTGGCTGCCTACTTGTTTAATTTAGTCTTTCATTCATATTTCTTTTTATAGCCAATTCTACTTTCACTTTTACTTTGGTTATGTTTCTTGCATTTACCCACTTGCCCATCACCATCACTCTTTATTCATTGTTATAAAGTTGCATGCTGAAAGTGAAGATGGGTGTTTTCTTCCTCACGCCATCAGAACCCAGAATCATTTCTTTTCTACATCACCACCGTCCCTCGGAACCCAGAATCAGTTCTAGTGATCGTTTGTGGCAACCCATGCGACTCCGGTGAGAAACGAATTTTTCATGTTTTTCTTTTCTCTGAACTCCATTAATGGCCGGTGAAAGACACCACCAACCAGATCGTCATGAATTCCAATGACCACAACGATGATTGATTGCTGTAAGAGACCTATTTTTTGGCACTTATTTCTTTTTCTTTCCTGTCACTCTCGACAAACATAAGCCGATAAGCGTGGCCTCTCAATGTCCGTGTTTGTTGTGCTGCCAAAACCCAAAGGCTCAAGCCCACCAATCGTGGTTTCACCATTGCCAAATCTGCGGAGCAACAGTGACAACAGGGGCACACCGCTACAGAACCAGTCGTTTCTCCCAAATTCCACTTTTCGTCTCCCCCTCAGCAGGATTTCTCCAACTTAGTTTCTAAGGTCTGTGACATCTTACACCAGCTTCAGCAGCAACAGGTCAATTTGACATAATACACCTGCTGCTCTTCTATTTGGCCCATAGAGGTCTACTTCAAAAAAAAAAAAAAGCCCACTGAGGCATTTCATTGACCCATTGAGGTCTTTATTGGCCGTTGTTGGCCCTTTTTAGATTGGCCCGTTGTGGCCCATTTCGTATTGGCTAAAGAAGCCAGCCCATTGAGACATCTTAGTTGACCCAATGAGGTCTATTGGTGGCCTATTTTGGCCTAACTTCAATCTGGCCTGTGTTGGGCCATTTTCATTCCAGTACAAGCCCATAGAGGCTCTTTTCTTCTTCGACAACAGATTCTCACCATTTTGACAGGGGATTGTCGTCGCCGGTCATCCATTACTTGCTACACCATCATCTTCACAGTTGGACACATCATCTCATCATGCCAACATACAACTGGTCATTTGCCATCAACATCATTCCAGCAGGCTTGTCATCATCTTCACAACAGGACACCATCAAGATCACCATTCCATCATCTACATGTCACATCCTCGCAATTATCAGCATATTGCACATTTGTGAGTGTTTGAGGGGGCGTGTTAGGGAATTGAGATAAGGTTTGATACATGAGCTGTTATGATAAGGGTGATTAGGAGTTCTTAGTAAGATAGAAATTGTTATGTTATGATAGAGTTTGAGATGGATTAAGATAGACTACATAGTCCTAGATAGAGTCTAAGAGTTTGAGCTGGAATAGGTTTGATTTCTATTTTATTCTATAAATATGATGTAATTATCACATTCAACAATGTATTCTTCCTAGTCTTCCTTGAATTCTAACTTCAGACTGTTCTAAACAGTATTTAATTTCAGGTCTTCCTCTTATGCTCAGAAATTCCACTAAAAGAATATCATTTACTTTTTTTCGTATGTTAGTAGGCTTTTGGTTTATTACATGTTAGCATATTTAAAATGCAAGTGGTGTATGTATGGGGTAGTAGTTCCTATCTGTTTACTATTATCTGACCATTTGAATACCAAGTAATACTATTTCTAATTAGTTATGAAGTCTATGACTAAGTCCCGATCTACTAGTAACTAGTAAGTAGTAACAAACAACGCTGGGCATATCATAGTTGTGCCACATGTCCTCAACACATGTGATCTTTAAAAAACAATATGCACAAGTGCATTTTTACCATTTCAATTCTTGGAGGAAACGATATTCTTGTTGCTGTGAGAATTAAATATTTTCTTACAGGTTTTGAGTGTAAAAATTGTTGTTATATTTGATATGAGATTCCTTTCTGTGACAGGCTTTGGCAGAAGAAGTTAGGGCTAGATATGACAAAGCAGTTGTCAAGGTCGTGGACCTGGTATGTGATACATAAGATAATGTTTGCGTGTGTTATGTACGTGCGTGCACACTGTAGGAAACTGCTTTTATACTTTGTTGTGATGCTTATACTGTTAACTTGTGGGTTTGTTCAGGATGATTATGCAGCTGATGATGATCAGTATGAAGAGAAATTGAAGAAAGAAACATTGGCCTTTTTCATGGTAGCCACGTAAGTTGTAAATCTTACTCTTAATAGCAGATTATATGTAAAATTTTAATTATTATGGGGTTTTCCGAGATTTCTGGTGCTTATTTAGATCACTAGAACCTGAAATTGCAGCTATGGTGATGGAGAGCCAACTGACAATGCTGCAAGATTTTATAAGTGGTTTACTGAGGTAACTTAATAGAAAGCTTTAGACCAAACAAATGTAAATCTGAATGATGTTAAGGTTTTTATATCCATAAAGCTTTCTAATTATGAGAATATATTTCTCATGCTCAGGGAAAAGAAAGAGGAACCTGGCTTCAGCATCTCACTTATGGTGTTTTTGGTCTGGGTAATCGTCAATATGAACATTTCAATCAGGTAATTCTCTAGTTTTTTGAGGTTTAACATTTGTCTTTTAGGTATAATTTAACTGCACAAATTCCAAAACAGATTGCCAAAGTGGTGGATGAACAATTTAGTGAACAAGGTATGTGTCTTTTTTATACGCTTTGAATCACATCACCGTTAGTTTGTTACCATATCATACAAATCTCCTATAATTGGAATTTTAATTCCTTTATGCTCCTAAATAGTATTGGCAATAACTACAACTGTTCTAAGTGATTGACTTTTCTGTGATGTTTTGAGTCTTTTGACAAATGTAGTGTATGCTTTTGTTTATTTTATACTTCAAAATATTGTAATTCTGATTAATGTTACCAATGAAGAAAATCTTATCAGTGTTAAAGATGTATCAGTAATTCTGGTTATGTTATCATTGGTCCCTAGACCTGATATCAAGTCAACCTTGCTAGCCCATCCATAGCTGTAGATTTTGCTTGACAATTTGCAGATCCAGATACCCATCTTAACTAGCAGTAAAGGTTAACTGCCAGATGTTTGGCCTCTGTAATTAGGAACCTTAACCACCAGGGTCATTCCAGTTTTCATTTGAATCAACTTAACGCTACTTGACAGTTACCTTCCACAATTAGGTCAATTGCTTTCTTTGCTTTTGATTTGGGTGTTGGTGGTTATCAGATTTCAAGGTTCTGGGTTGAGTATATCTTGCTTCATGTTTGGTTTATGATGGCCATACTCTGTTTCTTAAGTTGTAATGTTTTATTTTGTAAGAAGGGACAATTTTTATGCATTTTCTCTTGTCAAAGTGGTATCTTTATCCTTTTGTTATTACTTTTCTTCTTTTTTTTTAATGAACTTTGATGTTTTTATAGAAAGAGCATACCCTGTTGAACACTAAAGGCCTTATGTGGCCTTTAGTGATGGAGGGTGGCGTTGCCAACCTTGAGGCCTCAGGTTTATAGAAAGAACATACCCTGGGCCCATAAGGCCTCGGGTTTCCTAGGGATCTACCACTAAAGTTAAACACTAAAACTCCCTGTGAAGGAGGATACTGTTGCTACATGATATTGCTGTCTATGGAGTGAAGGGCTTGGAGTAATATGCCACCCTGTAACCACAAAAACACATCAAGGAAGCCTTAGCCCTTATGTGGTCACTTTGATCACTTTTAGTGATTAAATCAATATCAATCTAAGAGACTTTAATGTTTTCAGAGAAATTGTGTATTTTCTTTTATTCCAAAATATTCCATAAAATAGCTGTTTGAATGCATCTCTACATGAGAGAGAAACTAGACTCAGACCATGGTGTATATCCTCTCGTGGTTTATACTTTTGCTTTATTAGTTATTGTTTTTCTTTTTGATAGTAAATGTAAAAAGAATTTTATTAAAAGGAAAAAAAGCCATACAATCTTGTCAGGTGTTACCTTAACACCTGAACACATAACAAAAGCAAGGAGAAAATCAAAGCACATCATCCAAATTACAAATTTGCAATCCCACAACTTCCCCAAGTCTGTCCCCTAAGTCCTCTTTATCGACTTGATCAAATTCTGGTAAAACAAGATCCAATTGACACAACTTTGCCAATGGTTGGGTTGCCACCAGCCTCTCCATACTGACTTCGTTTCTTGCAATAACACCACAACCGGATTAAAATTTTTCAACATATTCCTCACTAAACCCTTCTTCTTCCTACTCTCAACCCCTGATGTTCCAAGATAGCAATTTCATCCTCGCCTCCCTCCACCCTCCCCCCCCCCTTTTGGGCCTTCGAACTTCTCCCTTCACTCCTCAGCTATACCTTCTTCCCACCCTTCCCCTTCCTCCCACACCTCTCTCTCTTCCCCTGCAACTTTCTTATTATATTCTTCCTTCCTGCTCCTTAGTGTTCAATTGCCCTTCTAACCACCCTCTCCCACCCAGGAAAAATAAACTGAGTGATTTTCCAATCTCCACCTGTGAGATCCTCCTTTTCCTGTTATAAACTCTATACTGTCTCTCAACCTCATCGACTTCCCTGGATGCCTTCCTCTTTGATATGCTTCCCCTACCACCCTCTTCAGCACCCCTGCTCCTGTCCTCCCCTTGTTGGAATCTACCAGTCCGGGCGAAGAAAGAGGACTGGAACCTACCTGTAATTTGCCTGAATCCTTGTCTCTTGGTCCTGAACTGGGGCTTCTCTTCCACTTGAAGCTATCCTCCCATTTCGTTGTGAATGTTCCAATGGCTGGACTTCAAAAGGCCCCTACCTTGGATCACTGCACTCTATTCCTGATTTTGACCTTCCCTGCCAATCACCTACAAACTCAACTCCATCTCAGGGTCTGTATTTCCAACCTGATGAGGGGAAATTTAGCCCTCCAGTGACATGATGACACGTTGCACCTCAAAACAGTCAGACCATCTCAGCACCATGCAAGTAATTCTTGGAAGTGCCTTGGACACCTCACACCCACCCTGACAACCTCGGTAGACCGAACTACGAACAGGCCTGACAAGACATCAGGTCGTCAGCATGAGAGGCGACCTGCTTCCGTCAACCTGACCCGAGTTCAGCTAGCGACTTGCCTGACATGCCAGTCCGGCAAGACATCCCCATTCACAAAAAAGGTATGGGTGATTTAGCACTCAAGCTCTCTAGCTCTCTCTCTTGCTTTCTAGCTCTCAGAAAACTCCATTTCGCTCACTTAAGCATTGGAGTATGAGTATCCACACCATGTAAAGTAGCTCGGGTACTCTGATTTTCTCTCTTTCTTTGCAGCTCGACCAAGCAACCTACCTAGTCTGCCGTCCGAGCTGTCCTCTGGCAGGGAGCTACCAGATCACGCACCATCACAACCTTATGTACATCTTTGCTTTGATAGGAGGTAGCCACAGACACCTTTGATCTCCTTTCTTCTACGACTCATTGGTTACTGACTTACTTTTGCTTGTGCATTAGTAATGCTCTACTGACTTTTTAAAAGAAACAAACACCAAGCTCGGGGTCTGGTTTCAACCTTCCCTGCCAATTGCCTACAAAGTCAGCTCCATCTCAGGGTCTGTATTTCCAACCTTAAGTACATCTTTGCTTCAATAGGAAGCAGCCACAGGCACCTTTGATCTCCTTTCTTCATTGACCCCTTGGTTACTGTTGCTTGTGCATTAGTAATGGTCTACTGACTTTAAAAAGAAACAAACACCAAGATGCCTGAAGCCTTACCTATTCTAGATAAGATCTCTGATGGCAAATTTTCCACCAAGGTTCTATTTGTTTCCAGTGTAAATCTGAACCAGATACAAATTTTGCACCTGGTTAAGTTTTGCACCCTTTCGTTTGTAACTCTGATTTGTACTCCTGCTTGATATAAAATTTGTACTTTTTGACTAATTTGCTCTCACTGGCAGTGCAAAATTTTCATCCTAAAAACAATTATCTTTCTCTTAAAAATATCATCCCAAAAATTGATGCAAATTTGCACCACCTTGCACCTACCTTTCTCTCTTACATATAAATGGGTACCACATCATCTTGCTTCCTACCTTTCTCACAAACGATCTCTTTCATATAAGGTGGGGAGTCCATTTTACTCACTTATTTTTATTTCTCACAAACAAATAAGAAAACTCATCTGAAGCTAAATAAAACCAGAACTTTTTTTATTGGAAATGGTAACTTCACTAAAATTAAAACTATGATAAGGTACATCTGTCAACTCCTAAGAGGAAGTTGACCCAAGTTACATATTCATTACAGCACTGCCCAAAACATGTTCTCCCTAACAGTCCATTTGTTTTGCTAAGGTATCCTCTAGCCTGTTAGCTGACCTTCTTGTCCACTTAAAGCAAACACCAATCTCCCTCGTTATATTCATTATTTCCCTTGTCATCTGGCTATATTTCCATGCTCCCAAACAACCTGATTGCATCCATCCCATTAACAGCTTAGAGTCCCCTTCAATCTCCATTTGATGTAGTCCCAAATGTTTGGCATATCTTACGCCTTGAAGTAAAGCCATCACCAGAACATTACCATGCATTTACACCAATGCAAAATGAAATTTGCACTTGAAACAAACCGGGCCTAAAGAAGCAACAAGAGTACAGTTGATATTGGATTAGGAATGCAAGGAACGAATTGCAACCAAAATTACAAAACCAATGCCCTTGTATAAAAGGCTATAACCTAGTCTTAGTCCCAGTTATATGGGATCTTGGGAGGGGTAGATTGGATACAGACCTAACCTTTGGCATATTTGAGGAAATATTGGGGTGTGTTTGGGATTTGGCCCTCTGCTTCCATAAAGGCCTCAAAGTCCTCAACCTCCATGGATTAGGAAGAATGCAAGGCATTTAATCTCAGATTAGCTACTTGGAGTGAATGAGTGATGCAACTAGTAGACAGACAAACGTGACCAGAGTTTCACATGGTTGAATTGTTGAATGCTGGAAGTGCTTCAGTACAATCCACATTTACAAAAAGTGTTTTTAATTTTTTTTTCTCTTCATTGAAACAAAGGTTCATTGAAGACAAGGGCTCTGCCCCTCCTCAGTATGGTTAAGGATTACCAGACTATGCCATTATTATGGAGGTTTATGTGATTATATGTCAGTGCAAAGTGCAAGGAATGGCTGGTTGATAATTTCTTTTTTCTTTTATCAATAACAGTGGATTTTATTAATAGTTTGGAAAACCAAAATTACAAGGTAAGGAGCTAAAGAATATTAGCTCCCAAATACCCTATAAGCCCTAAACATGGAGCAATTACAAAACAGTCCAAAACATAGAGTTTTGGTTCACCCCTTGCCTAGCTAGACCATCTTCCAGTGCATTAGCACTTCTCACTATCCATGTACAACGAATTTCAATATCCTTGATGAGCCACTTGAACTTCCTCCTGTCATTGTTGTATTTCCAGAGCATAGAACTATCCTCTTTTAACCAATTCACTACAATTTCAGAATCACCTTCTATGATCAACTTTTAAAGTTCATTTCCTTGGCCCTTTGTATCCCTTCAAGAGCTCCTAGGAACTCAGCCCTCAAGGAACCTCCCACCCCAAATGGGCCAAAATACATAGCTAACAGATTCCTTTTTTCATCTCTTATCACTCCCCCCACTCCAGAGGGCCCTAGATTACCCATGCTGTTGCCATCAAAATTCAGTTTGGTAAACCCATGAGGTGGAGGTGTCTAGTAGGAATTTGAGGTCTTCTTAATTGAGCCTAACTCTGCAATCTCCTTCCACTTTCTGGTCATCTCATCAACTAAGAACACTGCAAACAATTCCAAGGTTTTCAACCAGTGAATCACCCTAATGTGGATGGCCTCCAGGATTACTTTCAAACTTCTCTCCTTATTTGAAAATACCCTTGAATTTCTCTCCTCCCAAATAATCCAACACATTGCAGCCCTACCACATCTCCACATGATCTTGGCCCTTTTGGTTGACTAGTTAGGCGTGGAAGTAAATAAGCTTTGCACATTCGAAGGGGGAGTCCACCTGCACCCAAACAAATAAGTAAATCATTCCCAAATGACTTTAACAAACCGGCAAGAAATTAATAAGTGACATCTAGACTCACTATTAGATTTACAAAGGACACACCAGTGAGGAGACAAACAACTATTGGGTCTTTTTCTTTAAAGTAGATCCCTTGTATTAACTCTTTCCAAGAAGGCTTCCCAACATAAGCCCCAACCTTTAGAGGTATAGGTCAACACCACACTTCTTTAACAGGAAAAGACAGTCTAACAGGAGAATGAGGTAAAAGGGCCTTGAAGAAAGAGGCACAAGTGTAGGAACCCGAGGGAGTGAGTGTCCATATTCTACTATCTGACTTTGATGGCTCAATGAAGACCTCTTCAAGAATGGATAGTAAGGCTAAAATGCAGGCTAACCCTGTGTCCCTGACATCTCTTCTCAAATTCAAATCCCAACTGAACCCAGAAGGTGAATTAGAAGGTACAAGAAAAGAGGAAACTGGTTCATTTTTAAGGGTAGAAATAGTAAAGAGGCCTGAAAATTGAACTTTCAAAGAGGAGTCCCCAACCCACACATGTTCTCAAAATTTAATGAGATTACCTGAGTGTAAATCATACCTGACCCATGGATAAAACAAAGGCAAAATGGCTTGAATAGCTTTCCAAGGAGAAGCTCTTGTAGTCCTTGCTAGGATCCCAGAGTCCCGTCCATTGTTTGTCAGCCCATGTATACTTCCCACTATCTTAATCCATAGTCTTTCTTTCTCGAATGAGAATCTCCACAGCCATTTCCCTAGTAGTGCTAAGTTCCTAATCCTTATATTCTCAATTCCCAAATCCCCATCCTTCTTACATCTACATACCACCTCCCACCTGACCCTATGATCCTTCTTCTCCTCCCCCGGCTCCCAAAGAAAGTCTCTCATTAGATTTTCCAGCCTACTAGCCACTTTAGCCAGAATCTTAAAGACTGATAGGAAATAGACAGGAAGGTTGGCAAGCGTAGACCTAATCAAATTCCTCCAAGAGATAAGTAATTCTTCTTCTAGTTAGCAAGTCTTTTTTCAAACCTTTCCACAACAGGGGCCCAAAATTCACCTTTCTGAGGATTATCTCCCAATGGTAAACCAAGGTAGTTTAAGGGCCAATTAGATACTACACACCCCAGAATGTCTGCACACTCACAAACCTCCCCCTTGCCCATATTGACTCCAATTATACAACTCTTCCCAAAGTTTACTCTAAGGTTTGACATTTGCTCAAAAAGGTGTATAGTGAGCTTTAGGTTTCTAATCCTATTGATATCCCCTCCTTCACAAAATAGAATTGTCATCTACAAATTGTAGGTGTGTAAGTGGTATATTGTCTCTTCCAACCCTCCATCCTCTTATTAAATCCCTAGAATCTACTTTGGATATTAATCTCCCCAACACTTCTGCAACCAAAGTAAACAAAAAAGGGGAGAGAGGGTTCCCTTATCTAATCCCTCTCAAAGCTGGGAAATAGTCCACCACTGTCCCACTCACCAAAATAGAGTACTGACAATCCCTAATGCAACCCATCACCCATTTGCACCAAATTTCTCTAAACCCAAAGTTCATCATCACCTCCAATAGGAAAGACCAATCGACCAAGTCAAAAGCCTTTTCCAAATCTAATTTACAGACCACCCCACTTCTCCTGGATCTCTTGAAATTCTCTAGACTTTCTTGATAATTTCTGTTTGTAATATGCAAATTTTCGAATTAAAAAATGACAACAAAATTGTGTCAAAACTGATTGCTTGAAAAAGGAAAGTGCCAGAGAATGTCTGGAAAACTGAACTAATTCAACCAGATTTCCAGTGTAACAAAATTTGTAACCAACTGCTTATTCATTGCTACTTCTGCCTTTCAAACTACTATTGAATTGTGATGCCTTTAAGAGAAACTGATGTTGCAATTCACCTGTAAATATTTTCTGATGTTGCATTTTCTTTCTGGTTGTTATACAAGTACAACTTGTTATTGATTTGTTTGTCAATTATGGGTTTGTGATCATCTCTTTGAATGTTCCATTGAAAAATAGATCTCTCTTAATGAATACATTTAGAAGACAATGATGATGGAATTCATCAGAGTTGTTTATTTCTTGTCCTTAGTTGTTTATCTATTATGGTTTTGCGATCATCTCTCTAACAGCACATAAACACCATACACGATGATTTGATAGGTGCAAAGTGTCTTATTCCGGTTGGGCTTGGTGATGACGATCAATGCATTGAGGATGATTTTGCAGCTTGGTATGACTCATCATTTTAGCTAATCATAATCTGAGCCTGGAGAAGACTGCAGATCCTGGATAAGAGCATAATTATAGCTTATTGACATTAACCATAATTATCTGTTCCAGGCGAGAGTCATTGTGGCCTGAATTAGATCAGCTACTTCGAGACGCAGATGATGCTAATACAGTATCTACTCCATATACTGCAGCTATTCCTGAATATAGGGTCGTGGTTCATGATCCTACTGTTACAGCCTATGAGGATAAATACTCAACTATGGCAAACGGGAATGTTACATTTGATATTCATCATCCTTGCAGGTACTTCTGGACATGTGTTTTTAGTGGAAACTCTCCCCCCTTCCCCCCCCTCTCAAAGCCCAAAAAATCAACCATTTAGAATTCAGTAAACTTATTTTTATCTTTTCACATGAAGAGCCAACGTTTATGTTCAAAGGGAGCTTCACAAACCTGATTCTGATCGATCTTGCATACATTTGGAGTTTGACATATCAAGCACCAGTCTTATGTGAGTTTACTCTTCTTTATTCTTCTTTGAAGATAAGATTGATTAGTCATTGTGATGGCAATTTTGTAGTAATAACTTTATTTTCTCCTTGATATAACTACAAGTGAGAAAAACCTGTTTTTAACCCAGAATCTGCAATTTCATGATTGTGTACATACCTATTCTCTGAAAAAAATCCATGTGTTTTTACCTTTATTTCTCGTATGGTGTCTGCTTTTTTTTTGTTTTTTTGATTCAGTCCATCATGTTTCAGCTCATTTTTCTTTTCTTTGTTTCTTCCAAAAATTTGATTAGAATGTCCTAGCATTTGGATTCATTTCTGTTACTCTTCTCAGATATGAAACTGGAGACCATGTTGGTGTGTATGCTGAGAATTGTGATGAAACCATTGAAGAAGCAGGCAACTTATTGGCTCAGCCCTTGGATTTTCTGTTTTCACTTCACACCAACAAAGAGGATGGGACTCCACTGCCAAGCTCATTACCACCCCCCTTCCCTGGGCCTTGTACCTTGCGCAATGCACTAGCACGCTATGCAGATCTCTTGAATCCTCCTAGAAAGGTTGTTTAAGTCCTGATCATCTTGTATCTTTTGCCTTCATTGTAGTTGGAGTTTGAGATATTTGGTTTTTATCTTTTGGTACTTTCAGGCTAGTCTTGTTGCTTTGGCTGCTCATGCATCTGAACCTAGTGAAGCAGAAAGACTAAAATTTTTGGCATCACCTGAGGGAAAGGTCCATAGTTTACCTTTTTTTCCTTGGTTGTACTGCAGGCAATTTATTTGGGTTATTTTCCTGTTATGATTGCATGGTTATCATTTAGTACCTTTTCTTTATATTTTAATTTGTTTTTATTATCTTTTCTATTTCCAGGATGAGTATTCGCAATGGGTTGTTGGGAGTCAGAGAAGTCTCCTGGAAGTGATGGCTGAATTCCCATCAGCTAAACCTCCCCTTGGTGTTTTTTTCGCTGCAATAGCTCCTCGTTTACAGCCACGATATTATTCAATTTCGTCCTCTCCTAGGTGATGCTCTTTTCCCAGAAATAATAATCTGAAGCAATTTTAACTGTCATGAGGACTCCAGGAAAGTTTTTGGATGGTATATTTTGTGCAGGTTAGCACCTTCTAGAATTCACGTGACATGTGCTTTGGTCCATGGACCGAGTCCCACAGGGAGGATTCACAGTGGAGTGTGTTCAACATGGATGAAGGTAGGAAATGATGATAGTTTAGAATCATCTTTATCTTTTATATTCAATATACTAGTTGGTTCTGACGTTCTGTGGTTAGTAAATTTGTAAGAATATACAAGTATCACACACCTGTACTTGACAGCGTGCAGTTCCTTTAGAGAAAAGCCATGACTGTAGCTGGGCTCCTATTTTTGTTAGACCATCAAATTTTAAGTTACCATCAGATCCGTCAACTCCAATTGTCATGGTGGGGCCTGGTACTGGGTTGGCACCTTTCAGGGGATTTCTGCAGGTATGAAACTGAAAGTGGTTCTCTAGGAGGTCTAGGTTTCTTGTTATTCCAAATGGATTGCATCTTTCTAACCCCCCGTTATCTTTTCAGGAAAGACTTGCCTTGAAGGAGGATGGTGCTCAACTTGGCCCTGCTCTCCTCTTTTTTGGATGTAGGAACCGTAAAATGGTAAGTGATCATCATTATACATTATGCCTAGACTTATAAGTTTTCTTTTAATCTCATTCATTCTATTTTTTGGATGGGGTGGGTTGGTGGTTGTTATTCTTTATGTTACTGGCCTAACTGATTTTATCTATTTTCAGGATTTCATTTATGAAGATGAGCTCAATAGCTTTGTAGAACAAGGTGTTCTATCTGAGCTGATTGTTGCATTCTCACGTGAAGGACCAAATAAGGAATATGTTCAGCATAAGATGATGGACAAAGTAAGTAGGAGGTAGTAGATACGGGCAATAGATTGCAGTTCTCATTGGCTACCGTGTATAAAATATGCTCCACGTGCAGGCAACAGAAGTATGGAATCTAATATCCAGGAATGGGTATCTCTATGTATGTGGAGATGCAAAGGGAATGGCTAGAGATGTCCACCGGACTCTGCATTCCATTGTTCAAGAGCAGGTATGAAGTATTACTTTCTGCTTGGAATCTAGTTCTTGTTGAGGGTGAGGTGAGATGATCAAATCATGTTCTAGATTTTTCATTTTGCTGGTTCCTTAAATTAATGAAATTATACTGAAAACTTCTTCTGGCTTTTTGGGGAAAAAGATCTAGCACCCACAACATGAAAGTGCTGATCCTGAACTGACAAATTTCTAGATGCATAGTGTGTTCAGTTTGTACTGGTATTGATTAAATCAATCATTTCCGGATACACATTATAGAATGGCTTCCTTTAACTGACTAAAGAAAAAAATGGATTTGGTTGGCTAGGAATAACCAGACAGCTTTCTTTTTTGTGTCTATTCTGGGCCATCTCCGTCCGTCTTCAAAACATTAGTTATAGTTATACACGCGATTCATCGATGTCTTATTGTGCGCATAGAATTTTCCCTTGGTAAAAACAAGACACAAAGCCATAATCCAATTGTTACTCACATATATGGATTCTGTTTCAGGAAAGTACGGATTCATCCAAGGCCGAGGCTATAGTGAAGAAACTCCAGATGGAAGGACGGTATCTAAGAGATGTCTGGTGATTTATCAATAGCTGCCTTCTCCGTGATGGCAAACCATGATGGGGTTTATCATAATATCTTCAGAGTAAAATCCATTTGTTAACCACAAGGACACCTACAAAGTTGTCTAACAGATGAGGATTGTGGGAAAAAATTTTGGTTTCTGGATAAGAGCAAACATGTATGCATCAAGCATTTGTATGCCCTTTTCAGATGGAAAGAATGTGTATGCCATTATTTCAAGTTTCATATAGGAAAGCGCTAAGAAGTAACAAGGATTAAACAAATTTGAGTATTACAACCATACCATTTGGTAGCTGAGGCTATCATATAGCTTAGGAGATTATGATTGCTGGTTCACCTCTGAGATCTTGTAAGGATGGTAATAGTACTGTGACTTTTTAAGTTTAGAATAAAGATGATTGCTTGAATAGGTTCTGCTGATTTGTTTCCATTTGTCATACCTGCGAAGAAAGTCTGATTTCTGTTTACGCGTTTGTGTATATGCATTCACTTGTAAACATTTGTTTTGGGCCATTAACGAGCAGTTTTTTCCATGCCTCACATTAATGGTACCAGCCATCATAGGCCCCTTTTATTTTTGGGTAAGTTACTTAGGCTCAGTTTGGTTTGTGGTAAGATTTGGGTGGGATGGAAAAGTGTAAAAAATTACCTTTCCATTGTTTGGTTTTATATATGGGAAAATAATAGAAAAACACTGTTATGAGGGAGAAGAGAGAAGAGGAAGATGGAGGGAGAGACAGAGAATTTCATGACTGAAGCTCCGATCTATGTTTGCGAACTCAGATCTAAGTTCAACCATGGTAGAAAACCTATGATCTGTATTTAATCTGGCTTTTACTAGTAATGGTGGTGGTGCAGCAGCGGTGGTGGTGCAACAGTGGCGGGGCAGAGGATGAAGATGAAGAAACTCGAGTTTTTTCATCGGGGTTGCACGGTTTTGGTGTGACTCCTATTTCATAATTTTGGGATCTCACATCCCATTTTTTTCTCATCCCCATCCCACAAACCAAATGGAGCCTTACCTACCCGGGTAATTCTTTTTTAGGAAAGACTTACATTTACCCAGATAGTGCATTTACCCATGTTCTTATACGGGTAAATTAAATGGACTCCCTTACTATGAGGTTAATGATAAAGACCCCGCACTTTTTTTTTTTTTTTTATTGTGTGTGACAAGTCTCTCGTGAATTTTGGCTATTAGGCAAAGACCCCCCTTGGCCATTAAGTCAGATAAGGGAAGGCATTAAATGACCAAAATACCTAGATAAACTTTTTTCTGTTTTCTTTTTCTTACCCTTACTTTCTTCACAAGTCAAAATAATACTAACCAGAGACATTTCTACGGAATTCCAATTCCTCCAAATCCTTATCAACTCGGGGCATTTTCATTCCCCCAAACATTACCCAAAAAAATAAATAAGAGCAAATATTGGACGAGTAGGAGTGTCAAAATGTTGCCCCTACCTACAGTGGCAGCGAGATCCGAGAGTAGTTTGTCCTCTCGGTGGCAGCGAGAGTTGAGAGTAGTTCGTCACTTCGTCCTCACCGAAATGTTGCCCCAAGCAGTTCGTCCCCATCGGAATGTTGCCCCTATGGCACCGTCTCCGTCGGTAACAAACATATGCTTGAATTTAAAGAACCCGGCAAAATTACTATGTGAATTCCGCCGCAGAGTATTGTGTTTGCTCCCTTTGCGTGCTTGAAGGCTGAAGCTGAAGACCTCCACCTTGCTTCGAATCATCCACCAGCAACGACGCTTGATGTACGAGTGAAGGCACAGTTGGGGTTTCAGTTTATACGAAGCAGACAGGCTACGAGCAATCACATCTCGTCGTTTCTTCTAGAACGAGGACCTGGTTTTTGTTGTAGGCGAACCAGTTGATCTTACTTGGCGAAGATCGTACAAGCAATGAGCTCGTGCTTCTTGGCAATGTCATTGTGCCATTGAGCTCTGTGGAACAACGATTAGATGAGCGACATGCGCCTTCCAAGTGGTTTGTGTTTGATGGTGGAAGCAACAGTGGTCATGGTGCAGCTCCTGGCAGAGAAGGAAGAGCGATCTACTGTTGCTAGATTCATCTACGACTTTGCTTGGAAGGTGGGTATTACGTTCTTGATGAGGCAGCACATGTGTGTAGTGATTTCCGTCCGACAGCCTCCGGGTTCTTTTATCTATTGTGTGATTTCCGTTGCACAGCAGTGTGTTAATCCCTTATAGCTTCAGTTGTTGGCAATGTCAGTTTTTGTTTTATATTGTTTAACATCTTTTCTGACAGCGGCAATAAATATATTGTCAGCCCTTAACATAGAATATAAATGAATGACAGGTTGGTGTAAGCTTGACTAACAACTATAATTGTATGCGACAATCGAGTCGATTTGTTTTTTATCATTTATACACTATCAAATTGAAATTTACCTGGCCTTTCGTTTTTATAATTGAGGAAGTGAAACCGATCGGTACTATTTGAAAACTGGCAAATTTGGGTCGAATTGGGTTGGATTGGTTGGTTTAATCAGTTTCATGAACAACCCTAATGTTATGGTGCAAATTGTGAAGCATCCGGTGCTTGGATAAGCCTTATAAAATAAATTAGAAAATAATAGTTTGGAAATTTCGAAAATTTTAAGCAATCATAAGAATCTTTTTCCAAGATGGAATCCTAACAAAGGGGGGTCTTTTTCTAATGGCCAAAGTTCAAGGGGGACTTTGTCACAAAAAAAGTGCAGGGGTCTTTGTCACTGACCCCATAGTACAGGGGATCCGTGTAATTTATACTTCTTTTATTTCCCATGTAAATAATGCAATGACCATTTTATCATAAAAATCCATTATTGAAAGGGGCACTTTTGTTCCATTCAAGTGTTGGCAACTTTTTCCTCATGTGGAAAAGTTATTTATCCATTGGGAGATGGGTTATCACTTACCACCTAGGAAAATAAACTTTCCTTGTCCCCACATAAATTTGAAAAAAAAAAACACGGATTTCTTTTTCCCCTCTCAAAATCCAAAAAAATAGTGCCCCTTATTGTAAATCTAATAATGATAACTCTGAAGAGTTCCGTTTTATCTCAAAGAGAAGCATATTCAAAAACATTTGTAGAAACAGTACTAGCGTGATTTCTTAATTCAAAATGTCAAATTATTTCAGTTCCCTGAACACATCTGATTTGAAAAACGGAAAAGTACGGACAGACCCATTGCAGATTTCTGAATTCAAAATGTCAAATACCCCCACCCTATACACCAATCTCTACCCGTGGATTGGCATCAATTCCGAGCTAGTACCTACCCCACTCTATACACCAATGCTTCCCTTTAGGATGGCACTGTGTGATTCAAAGTTTCAAAAATTGAGCCAAGACATCTCTTTAATAAGGGCATTAACCTTCAAGTGGCCGCTGGCAACGAGACCTAATTTATCCGTGGTCTAAAAATTGATACATTTCGTATGATATGCATTGATACATATTAATACATTCAACCCTTGATAACATTTATCAGGGTCTGTTTTGTTTGTAGTTAAAATCGGAATTGGAATCAAAATCCTTTAGAATCAGAATCGGAATGGTTTATTCCTATAGTCTGTTTGGTTTAGACAGAAATGAGAATAGAAAATTGGAATAAGGGGTAGGGAATGACCATTCACTCAAATGGGAGAATGTCATTCCGGTAGGTCGAGGCAGGGAGTGGCCGAGGGGAGTCATGGCCCCCCCTATGCCTTTAAAATTTCCTTTAAATTTATTTAAGTTTCACTTGTATTTTAGCCCCTTTACTCATGTTTCCTAAATTTTGACCCCCTTATCCATGTTTTCTAGGTTTTGGCCCCCTCAATAAAAAATCCTAGCTCCACTCCTACCGGTAAGAATGGAAATGGGATTCTGATTTTTTTTTTTTTAATCCACTTAACTGTTCCAGCAACCAATGTGAAGGCAAAGACGTTTGGACTTCCAAAGCATCTCCCACCCACCTATGCTGCCTCCACGATGAAAGGTTTAGGGCCTGTTTGATTTGCGATCGGAATCGGGATCGGGATCGGGATCGGAATCGGAATAGCCTATTTTGCTTGGTTGTTTGGTTCAAACCGGAATCGGAATCAGATTCTGATTTGTGATGTTTGATTCGTTAAGAGGTTGGAATCGGAATCGGAATCAGCCATGATTTTCAATTTTGCCCCTAATAAAAATAAAATAAAAAAAAAAAACAGAAAATGCATGAAAATACTAAAAAATGTAGAAATTTTATAGGAAATGCAGAAATTACAAAACTGTTTTTTATGCTATCGTGTTTCATTTTTATGCAACACAGTTGCTTGAAAAATTACATATCTGCTGTAACAATACATTACAGTCAGCGCCTTTATCTGCTGTAACAACACAGTTGACATAAAACAGAAATTACAATGAAAAAGCATGGGAGAATGTCGTGTTTCATTGCAGGTGTGTTTGACATTTTTGTAGCATGAAACACGGCATGGGAATGGCACCCTCGGAATGGAAATGGCATTCCTTGGGGTGGGGTCGGGAATGGGCGTCCACCTAGAATGGGAAAGGGAATGAACCATTCCGATTCCGATTCCACACTCCTATTCCCTGAAACCAAACGGACTTTTAATACGTTTGGTCTCCCACAATGCGCTCCGAAATTAATTGTCATTTAAATCTTTCTTTATTCTCTTTCAAACCTCTCATAGACCTGTTTCAAATCTTTCTTCTCCTTCAAACGTTTCAGGTTTCAAACCTCTCAGACATCTTAGGCACTGTTGTACGTTTCAAATCTTTAAACCATCTCAGGACCGTTTGCAGTCTCTTCTCTTTCAAACGTTTGCAGTCTCTTCCTTCCAAACTCTTCTTGGGACATTTCAGATCCTCCAGGTTGCAAATTCTTGGGACGCTTCGGCTGCACTGACTGTAGCTGTTTCAGCAGTTTAGATTTTCCTCCGACTGTCAGACGTTTCCAAACATCAAGTAGGAATTCAAACCATTTCTATATTGTAAATACATGTATAAACAATTGAAAAATGGATTTAAAAAAAAAAAAAAAGAAAAAAAGCGTCAAAAATTTGTTGTATACGAATCGGGTCAACAAAAGTCCCTTTTTCACAACCCGGGCGAAGAAGACGAACAAAACGGTCTGTGATGACCCGTTTTAACAATCCGATTGCAGGTAGGCGGGTCGTCATAAACCCAACCAATGTATGATACGGGATCCCTGGATTCATGTATAGTATGGGTAGTTCGACCCATGCACAAAACGGGTCCAACAACAACACCAATACCACCACCACCACAATAACGATGATGATGACGATGATTATAGTATTATTATTATAATTAATAATCATAATAATAATAATTATTATCATAATTAATAATTATAATTAATTAACATGAATGTTATTATAAGAAAATTACATTTAAT